TAGAACCGCTGAACTGCAGATAACAGTCAGCTGAAGTGGCCTGCAGTACTGCACCCTAACCACTGCGCCACCTACATATGCTACATAGAGTGAGAGCTTTGTAGTAAAAATAGACCAAAGTTAGTTCATTTTTTAAAAGAAACTCACCATGTGAAGCCGTTCTACTAATTTTTGATCCCCAAGACAGTTGTTTGTATCGAACCATGAATCAAAATCCTGCATTAAAAAACATGCTTTATAATCAAATAATTCACTACCAACAAATCAGCATTTAATATACTATTCCTTGCCCCCACATATAATAAATACAAACAGAAGAATTTAACTTTATTTAAAATTTTAGCTTTCCAAAAATATGTTTCAATCCTCTTTCAATTTCTTGCTAAAATAATGTAGGAATGCTGCTAACATACATGTCAACATTTGATATGAGATAAATGAACATACTCCCACTCTTCTCACATTATCTATAATTTCATATGACACACTGATACCGATTATAGATAACACAATAATCCTTCGTAATTATTTTTAAGATATACTAAAGCTATAATTTGATTTCCACATTATAAAGTAAATGTAGCTATCAGTGAGGAAAAATTGAAATAGCACTAAAAGTCAGGCTGATTTCCAACCTGCAAAATAAAAACACGGTATTAAACAGCATTATTCTCTGGGCATCTTATACTCTATAAGACTGAAGAGTTATGCTTATGAAGATGACAACCATCAATGATACAGTTATTTTCTACCTTGCTAGAAATGCTTTTTCAAATGCTTTAACAGTTTTATAAAAAATATTTTATTTTCAATTTTAAATATTTATTTCATACTGAACAGCTCACAGTGGCACATTATTATTGTTGCTGTTATCTCATTGAATTCAACTAATAAATTCCTACAGAGCTGGTGCTGTTGCTTAAAACTATTTATACTTGCCAAGAAATGTTTCTTAATCAAAAGAGGCAAATCTGAACCTAAGTTCCCTTTAATTAGTTTTCCAAATGATGATCATTTTCCTATTTCTATTAGCAATTGGGATACAATTATTTAGATCAGGATCACTGAGGCTTCATCCACAAATTGCTTACCAATCACCTCATCTACATAAATGTCATATCATCTTTCATTCAGCCGTATTTTTAATTAAGATACCATTAAACATTACAAATATTTTCATACATTACCTCAGCTGAATTAAAGACATCTGGCAATAAAAAGTTAAGAAGTGCCCACAGTTCATGCAGGTTGTTCTGTAATGGTGTTCCAGTTAACAATAACCTATTTGTAGTCTTAAATTCCCTCACAATTTCTGACAACTGAAAGAAAAAGAATTACTATAAACATCTGACAGGAAAGAAATCTGCAAAATTTAAATTCTTACCTAAATAGGATATTTAAAATTACCTTAGACTTTTCATTTTTAATCCTGTGGGCTTCATCAATAACTAGGTATCTCCAGTTAAATTTTTTGAATACTGATTTCTCTTTAATGAGCATTTCATATGATGTTACACAGACATCCCATTCTCCTGGCAACAAAACATCTCTCACGAAAACAGCCTGAATCAGAGAAAATATTGAATTAAAATTTTTAAAGAAATAATCATTATTATATCACAGAATCTTTATTTATGGTTAGTTATTATTAAATACATCCATATGTGACCCTGATAATTTCAAATCTGTTACCACTTGTTTCCTAAAATTAGATATAATATAATTTTAATGTACCAGGGAGATTCAGGGTTTCATACAGAAGTTAAACTCTGGATAATTTGTAACTCTGCTAAAAGCTAATTCAAAAATTCACAAACTGTATTGCATCAACATTCTGACCAGGATTTCCAACAGGTCATGTCAGGAATAAGGGTGTATTTTAAAAATAATAGATAATCAACAGTCCTAATATTAGCTAATTTAGCATTAATAAATATAGCAATACATTTCCCTTAATTCCTGCATAAAGAATTAGAAACAATTAAATTAAGAAACTGTAAAAAAAATCAGCCTTATGTTCTTTATTTTAAAAGTTCAACTGAATAATAATTCCTAACTGGCAGAACACTGTTGTGTTAACCGAAGATTTCAAACGACACTACAACAGCCTTAATTTTTGCAATATTTTACTTTGGCATTTAACTACATTTAAATATACTTATTTTCATTATGCTGCAAAGTTATCTTTTTCTTTATAAACAGAAGACTTAAACACACATATTTAAAAAGGGGAAAAAAAACAACAATTTGATTGAATTAATGTAGAAACTCAAAACCAATAAAAAAGTATAGTATATTTCATTATTTTGATAAACAGGACTAAATTATAAAAATTTGCCAATTAATAAACCATAAGTAAAATTCAAAAAGCCACCTGAGAAAGTAGCCCATTCTATAAATGGCAATACTTATCTAAAAACATTTATGTCAGCTAGAAATAGATTTCAGTTTAACTTCCATTACTGTACACAAAGTTTAAGCTCCCTAAAATAACAATAGCAAAAGAACTTAGACATATACTGTTCCATAGTGCTTTACAGCACTCTCTGTAAACAGTTTACTAAGTCAGCATATTGTCCCAACAATCTGGTCCTCATTTTATTGGCCTCGGAAGAATGCAAGCCAAGTCAATCCTGACATGTCAGGATTCAACTCCTGGCTGTGGGCAAAGTTAACCTGCAATACTGCATTCTAACCACTGTGCCACCACGGCTCCTGGCAAAAATGCATTTGCCAAATAGAGATATAATTGATAAGAAACTTGAAAGTATTCCATAACACTTATTGCTTGGGGGAATACAGTAGGACATGGGTAGACCTTTAGTGACTTCCCTGCCAATTGATCATTTGAAGTTATGATGGTGCCGAAATGTTACTTTATGACCATCACAGTACCCTTGCAGCCATTGATTGCCATTCAGGCAGTTTTCAACAGGTGTTTACAACTGTCACAGCATCTAGGATGTGATCACCAATTGCATGCTTCACAACCTATTTCTGACAACCAGAGTCAATGGAGAAGCCAGCAGGAAATCATTAAGTGATGTCTCACTTAATGGCATGTCGGTCACTATTCATGAAATTTCACTTACAAATCCCTAGTACTTTGCTATGGGCAGGTAGGCTAATTGTCACTGAACATATATATGACTAGTAGAGAAACACACTTGAGTTCATACTCACTCGCTGGTCTTTATCACCTATCAGACATACTGCTCGAAGAGTTGGCACCCATCTCTTGAACTCACTCATCCAATTATGCAAAGTTGATTTGGGAACCAATACCATATGAGGACCTGGAATGTTCCTGTAATGTTTCATGTACCCAAGAAGAGAAATTGTTTGCAATGTCTTTCCAAGACCCTGTTAACAATGTATATACACAAAAAGTTAATTTGTATCAGAGAGCAAGATAAATACAGATATAAATCCGTGTGTGTGTTTTTGTGTGTGTGTGTGTGTGTGCGTGCACTGAATTTTTAAAGGGAGATTTCAGCAACAACTAAATGCAATTTTATACATCAATCAAGTCAGCTGCCTTTTATCCATCTTGGAATTTTACGAGTGTGGGTGTGAGTGTCGATATGTATCAATATATTACATTTAGAAAATGTATAACTGTGTAAGCATATATCTTTGTATCCTATATCATAAATTCTTACTGAAAGTGCTATTAAGAATTGTTAATTTTCTTATGATGAGCTACTATATTATCAGAAAGCCTATTTTCAAATATACAACCATCTCTAATTAGATCAACATTCAAAACTATGCTACTGCTTATCACTAGCATATAATCCTTTATAATAAAAACATTATATATTCAGAATTTTAACTATAAAGGAAAAAAAGGCTGCAACCTGCATGATATATCATTCTCAAAATATAAAACCCAGGAGAACTGCAGAACATAAAATAAAACATTCTGCAATTCATATAGACTTTACAGTATTGGCTCCAGAACCAAGGCTATCTTAAATAATAATTCTACTCAAGATAGAAAACCTTCACAAAAGCCAATCAAATAATTACATAACATTCCTTAGAAAATATATATCTTGTTTTTACAAATATTTAAAAGCACATTTTCCCCAAATATCTAGGTTCAATACCGCTAGTCAGAACTAATTACATAAAATAAGAAATATTTTACCTAACTACCACGCAAATCAAAAAACCAACTTTCAATTTGCTATTATAATAAGCACTGATTTTTTAAAAAAATCTGAACATATATCTGCTAGTACTAGGCTTATAACTATATCAGTACCTTTTATATTGGGACAGGACTGACTAGAAAATCTACAATCAGAAAGCCTACATTTTGACATAAAAATATTATGCTCTTATTCTACGTTTAATTCACTTTAATTAATTCACTGTGATTTGCATTTCGTGCTATTATACAATTTATAAGCAATTTTAACAATTAGCAACAGTTCACAAAAAGGAACTGGGCAAACTTTAATAATTAAAATTAAATGTGATTTTTCACTTTAATTCTAAATAAAATCAGCTTTCAGCATACCATTTCATCTGCTAAAATACCATTGATGCCATTCTCATACAAAGAAATGAGCCAGTTCAATCCTCTGACTTGATAATCACGCAATTTTCCCCATTTCACATCTGCAGTAAGAGACAGAAGCACGTAATAATAAATTAAAGTCACCTCTTATTTTCTTCGTAGTAAGTATTCCCAATACCCCAGGAGGAAGAACTAATATTCAGTCCATATTCTTAACAGAATAAAATGCCAAGTGTTATGCCATTATGATTAAATTAAATGTGTACAAAGCAAACTCATTGGTAATTCAGGATTTTTCTCATGTCTACCAACTAGTTGCAATGTTTGCAAAACAAAATGCTAACCAACATCAGAAACAGGAATAGAGTACAAATGAATAATAGCAATAGCAATAGCAGTTAGACTTATATACTGCTTCATAAGGCTTTCAGCCCTCTCTAAGCGGTTTACAGAGTCAGCATATTGCCCCCAACAATCCGGGTCCTGGACCCCTATTGACTGTTCTACAAATGAATAAAAATACTGACTGTTCTACAAAGATTAATCAATAGAAAACTAGATAATGTTGTTTATTTTCTGTTTGAAAAGAAATGTTATACACTTATAAAACAAATTATCATGGCATTTTAATATTTCTTGACAACAGGATAAACAAACCCTCTCAAATTATAGTAAGTTATTAGATACAAAGGGATGGATGTATTTATTAGCAATATTTTTTTGAATCCCACTTGCCTCCCTTCCTTCCCACTAATAGAACAGATAAATTATCTGTTCTCAAACACAAGAAATGATACTCCATTAAAGTGTTCATTATGAAGCAGCAAACAACAAATCCCTGAATTTGTGTTATACACGACACACATTCAAAATCAAGGAGGAAAAATAGTTTTGAGCACACATGGGAACATATATTTTAAAATTGTGTAACTTTAAAATCTGAAATCTCTATTACACACATATTTAATTGGGGATGGATTTAGTTTACACATAATTTCTCTGTAATAGTTCTAGAAGAGATAAGTTTGATGCTCAATTTAGAATACAGTTTGGAAATATAATTTGTTGTAGAAAATTTAAAACATGTTCTCATTTTTTACCAACTAAATCATACTGCTTAAAAAAATAGATTTCTTTATATTAAAACTTGGATATAATAAATTAAAAAAGTAGAACATGATAGCAGAATAAGTATATTTAAAAGTTTGCATGCAAAATTGTATTCAAAATGACAAAGTGAGTATTTTCTAATCTGTTCTAGGAAGACTTCTGTTTTGAAAGGAAGCATATAAAATTTCAAAAAATATATTAATTTAAGTAGGATAATATTGGCAAATGTGTAAATACTATTATGCTAAATAAGCAAAGAAGTATCAAAATCTTTTAATTTTGGATAGTTCCCAATGGCCACATGTAAACAACAAAAAATATTACTTACAGGATGGAGAATCTTCAAATCGAGTGCATACATTAGTAGTCTTGGAATTTTCGGTTAAAAGCTCCTCATCCTCTTCCTGTTCAGTTCTACGATGGCGATAACTAGAAACAATGGAAATGTTAAGAAAATAAACAGTTAACTATTATAGATTCAAAAATAAGCCAAATTTTTACATTGAATAACTATTACAAGCTCCTTAGCTAAACTCTTATTTGGATGAAAAAATGCACCCATCACAACTTTTCATACTTTCCAGTCCAATGCATGTTGAAAAGAGTTTATGTAACAGGATTCATGACTTTGTCCACGTTATTACTCCCTAAAAACTCAAGTAAATTATTGTAAAACATTTGGTTGGGGAAAAAGTAAAAAAAACATTAAAAAAATTCAAATTGTGAGAGGCAGTTATTCTAGGCCCAAGATGCCATTAACTCATTCTCCATTCTTAAGCTTTTTCCTGCTATTATTAATTACAGCTATACTATGCTCTGTATGGTTCTTCTATTCTATAGGCAAATATTTCATATATGGTTTTTAGGAAGTATTGGCTATTTTTCTATTTCTGAAGTATCAAATCTCATCACAGCTGGCAACAGGAAGGGCAGCGGCCAGTAAACACTCAGTTCCATTCAGTTGCCCAGATTCCACCCCACAAGGATTATGAGGTTGTTAGAACAGGATGAAATCTCATCACAACACATTGCCATGTCAGTTTTCCTTCTTTCAATCATGTAAACCAGAAACTGAACTAAAACCATGCCTGCAATTTCACTTATTCTGAAAATATTCAAAACATGCATATATGAAACTCTATTAGGAAAAATTGCTATCAATTCTAATGAAAGGCTGGTTTTTATTCCTCTCCAACTCAAAACTAGAAAGAGTAAAAGGAGATAATCCTGTATCACATGCTGAGAAAAAGACATTCAAAGACAGGGTCCTGGCAACTCTTTTTAAACTCTTTTTAAAGCTTTCTTAAACCTCACTATAGTTCTTATATAAGGAACTCTATATAAGAGTTCCTTATATAGGAACTCTTCCCAGATTGAAGAGTTTCACAGTGAAGAGTCATGATGGTGCAGTGGTTAGAATGCAGTATTGCAGGCTAATTCTGCTGGCTGACAGTTCAATCCTTACCAGCTCAAGGTTGACTCAGCCTTCCATTCTTCCAAAATCAGTAAAATGAGGACCCAGATTGTTGGGGGCAATATGCTGACTGTAAACCACTCAGAGAATGCTCCAAAGCACTATAAGCTGTATGCTATTCACATATATGGCCCTATCAATTCTCATCAGAGGTAGACCTCCCCAGGCAATTTAAGTACAATCTACACTAATCTACATATTTGTATTCAATCATGATCTTTGTTTCACATTTATTTATTTAGTTGAATGACGCCCTTTGCATATTGCAACTCAAAGGTGCTAAAAATATTTTACAATGACACATTTTCAGAATAAATATAACTCTGTTGTTACTCACTCTCCAACAGATAACAGATTTTGTTTTTCATCTTTTTTTATTCTTGGTCGTCCTGGTTTCATTTTTAAGGGTGAAGTTGGAGTCTTCTGAGCAGCAGGTTGAATGAAATGTGCAAACAATTCTGTCTGTTTCAACAGATAGTCAAATCTGTTTGATCGATCGGTTTGCTGCAATAAAGTTATAAAGATTAGCAAGAAAACAAGAAAGTTTATATGAAAAAAAATCAAATTCTAGAATTAGTTTTTAGCATTTGAAAATCCATTATAAAGTGTGGCAAAAGCAGAAAATACCATAATTTAGCATCCAATCTTTGGGGCCGTCAAGGAAGCCTTCTCATTACAATGATACTGCTAGAAATTGTGTAGCTGAAGACGGTGGGGAATGTCAATAGACTTTGGAGGAAATTTAAGATTATGAATAGGAGGTGGCTTCTTTGAAACAAACTCTTCTTTTCTCATTCTTAAAAGCCTTCCAAAATAAACCAAAATTATATTGATAAAGTATTAAGATTATTTTAATAGAGCAGTCCAAGTTTGAGATGCTTGGCTGCCCAGTGCATGAACCAAACTGTCAACTCCTGAAGTAATCACCTATATTATAATACAAAATGCCTACCATTTTTTCTTCATATGTAGGATCTGGTTCTTGATTTTCTTTTTGTTTTCCTAGAGATTCATCACCAAGTTCCTAGGGAAAAATAACATTTCTTACTATTCTTTCACATTTTATAACTTTACAAAAATTAAGATTTGTTTTGGAAATCCAAACTATATACAGCAAAAGTATATACCATGTTTCTCCAAAAATAAGACCCAGACTTATTTTCTTTGGGACCCTGAAATAAGCACTGAGGCTTATTTTCAGGGAGGCCTATTTTTGGGACGTGCCAAGAGACAGCAAGTCCGGAGGCTGACAGGAATGGGAGTACTGCTACCACCAGCTCTGTTTTGGCCCAACATCTACTTGCCTGTGCCGCAACAACCTAACCTCTCAGCACATCTTGGCCTCCAGCCTCCCTGTCTGCTGTCCCTTCTGTTGCTGGGACACTGGAGCTCGGGTCTTGTCAATGAAGCCACTCTTGGAAGGATGTCACAAAGCTCATTGGGCCAGTGGAGCTGCTCTAGGAAAGAAGGGCAAGACTTGTCATGCCGGTGGAGCCACTCTAGGAAGGACACCACATGGCCCATAGCACCGGTGCAGCTTCTCGTGGCAGGCCGCTACATGGTATATGTGCCATTGAGTTTTACACCTGCACCTTGCCTCACCTTGTACAACCAGACGGTGGCAGGGCTTAACTAGGGCTTATTTTAGGGTAGGACTTATATTAGGCACAGGCATGAAAATCGGGCTAGGGCTTGTTTTCAGGGTAGGTCGTATTTTCGGGAAAACACGGTATTTATAAGTTTATAAACCACATTAGTAAGACATATTCTATGTGATACAAAAAGAATGGATGCAGACAATGCATTAATAACATAAAACATAATAAATAGTAAAGTTATAAAGTAAAGTAAAGTTATATATTGTGTTGTGTGTGTTGCATGGTGCTGTATTGCATTACATTACATTAATACTTTTGCCACTTGGAGTTCTACAGCATCAAGTTCCAAAGACCATCCAGAACAGCCACATTTTTACAAGTTTTTAGAAAACCAGAAGAATGAGAATTATCCTTGTTTCACAACTAGAGTGAGTGTGTCAGAGAAGAAACTCCTCACTGAATAATGAAACATCTACAAGAAAATAACCAAGTTTAGAGAGTACCAAGGACCTCATTTCAATCCATCAATTTTATGATGGTTGCAGAGTCACTTAACCATGTTACTAACTTAACAACTGCAGTGATTCTCAAAATAACTGAGACAATAAAGGTAATAAAATGGGGAAAAATGCACTTAACAAATGTCTCACTTAGCAACATAAATTATAGGCTCAATATAGGACTAGCTGTATTTCAAGATGTCCAATACACACAAAAGACCATATTAATTAGGTTATCCATCGCTGCAGGGTCAAAATACTAGAAAGTATAATATTTCTTCGGATTGTGTTTTAAATTTGTAATATGAATTAGCTGTTATTAAAAATGGTGAGGCTCTTTTATGGATATAAATATCGTAGAGCAGAGGTGTCAAACTGGATTTCTTCAAGGGCCAGGTCAGCATTGTAATTCTCCGCGGGTGGGTGGGGGGCTCGTCTGCATCCCTTCCGCCCATTTTCTCCTGCACAGCCTCCTGCAACACTCTGCCAGATGAAAACGGGCTGTAGGCAGTGGGCATGATCCATTTTGGCCGTCAGGGGCACTGTGGGGTGGTCATTTAATATTTCTAGGCTAGCCCTGCAAGCCAAATGCAAGCACCCCCGCATACTTTTATATGTTATGGGGTAGGATTATAAGGAACACATATAAATTAAAATGTACAAACACAAAAAACTATTAATGTAAATGTGTAATTGTTCTCAGTGAAGAAAGACACTGCCTAACATTGATGTATCTTATTGTGTAACTATAAGACATGTATTCAAACTGTTCAATGTACAGTTTTCAGGTAACACTACTAATATAAATTTGGGAAGTGGGGATTTATGACAGAAGCGGGACACAAAACACTGATGCAGCTGCACTTCTGAATACATTGTATAACAACATACAGTAGATACTTTAGCAGCACCTAGAAGCAAAATTGCTTGGAATCCACCTACAAATAGGTTGCATTTCCTGGTTTATTTCAGATTAATAGACCAGTAAATACAACCTTTAGCCTTTCCAACACCCCAAGTAATGTACTGTAGCAAAATAATAGAAAAGGAAAAAGATCCTATGTTAATTTTCTAAGAACAATTACTTAAAATTTACCCTTGAGGGTTTGTGTATTTTTGTACATTTTAACATTTATGTTAAACATTTTAACTTTATCTTTAGTTTTTTGTCAACAGTCTGAGCAGAAATCTTGGAATACAATAAACCAGGTGCAGCCCTGGAGAAGTGGAGAAGGGTCCTTTTCTCAGAAATGCACATCCCCCAGGAGGAACAGGGTCCAAAGAACCTTTGGAGTCAAGAGCAGGGGGTCTCCGGGCCTGGCAACAACATTTTTTTGACGCCTGCACATCCTAATCGTTAAAACAAGGGGAAGCGGTTTCACAGGATTACGGCTTCACCCACCGAAAGCGGAGGCCTCTCCAGCACCAACCACGCCGCTTTGCCAAGGGAGCCTCCAAGCTCTGAGCTAAGGCGACCCGACTGGAGGCTTGCCAGAGCCAGGCTATCACCGTGCCACACGGAAGGTAACCCTCTCGACGCAACGCTGGATGCTTAAACCGACCATGAGAGACGGAAGGACGCCTTCGCTACGAACATCATTGCGCGGCCAATGCCGCTTCTTTGGAAGCCCCCTTCCACCTGCAGCCCAGCCAGGACCACGCCACCGACCGAGCTTTTGCGGTGGAAGAAAAGCAGGAAAAGCAGGGAGGCGAGGGGATAAGATCCGATGAGGACCCAGAGGGTTGGGGGCAACGCTGGTAACAGCTCAGAGGGAGCTATAAAGCACTGTGTGAAGCGGTATATAAGTCTAACTGCTATTGTTATTAACGGCTGAGAGACAAAAAGAAAAGGGAGGGGGAAGCAGTAGAGACGGCGCGATTAACCCGGAGAAAGGAGCGGCGTCCCCGGGGAAATCGCTCGCCTCCATCGGGATACCCCCTTTTGCTTTGCCAAGGCGTCCACCGCCGGAGGCGCCGCTCGGCTCTTCCTATTGTCTCCGGCTCCCCACCTCGAGAAACTCGGTCGGAGAAACTCAGCGGTTACGAGCGCTTCCCAGATTCGGTCTAAAGAAACGGCCGAGGTTCTCTGCCACACGTTGCCCGTCGCCCTTCCCCGCCTGCCTGCCTGAGCCGGCGAGAGGAACCTGCGAGTCGCCCCCACAGCGCCGGTTTTTCCAGCCCCTTACCGTTCCTTCGTCATTGATCCCGGGCGCTCCTTCGGCGGAAGCCGGGGCCCCTCCTGGGTTCTCCATGCCGATGGGAAGCGAAGCGGTGCCCGAAAGGGAGCTCACGTTCTCGTTCTCCGGTCCCAGCGCAGACATCGTGAACACCGTCCGGGGAGATGAAATCGCCGAGGGCGCCGAGCTACCGATTCCCGCTTTTAAACACAAAAGTGAAATTGAGTTCTCGCCGACTCCCTCCGCGCGCGACTCGGACCGGACTCTTTTCTTTCTCTTCTTCTTCTTCTTCTTCTTCTTCTTTCAGGCCGCTCTCTCTGCTGCCGCCCCGGCTTTCTCAACGCGGTCCCACCAACCAGGAACCGAGCCGGCTCTCGAGTATCGCGAGACTCAGCCTCGCGGGCTGGGTGTGGAAGAAAACACGGAGACGGGAAAAGAAAAGGAAAAAAAAAAGCCCGTTCTGATTCTTACATTGGCTGAAGCCAAAGCCTGAATGGCCAATTAAAGCAAAGGAGGCGGGTTCCTTTGGCCCTCAGTGCTCGGTATTTGGGGTAGGAATGGGTGAAGTTTGCCCACGAGTCCAACATCTGGGAGCAGGAATCTCCTTGAGTCATTAGATCGGTGAGGGGCTTACAATTCCGTTGCAGATGTGAGGCAACGAAAAAGAGAAGTCGAGGTACCGGAAGATTAGCTCACAGTTTCTCAGCCTCAGCAACTTTTAAGATGTGTGGACTTCAACTCCCAGAGTTCCCCAGCCAGCCATGCATTAAAATACGTACATCTTAAAAGTTGTGGAGTTTTAGCCTTTTCATGTCTTTCAAATCTTTTAGTCAGTAAGAATAGGGAGATTTGTACAGCCTTCCACTATTTCGGAACCACGACTCCCGGCAATTTTTGCCTGTTGGCAGAATCTCTTGCAGGTTTTTCCTCATTCCCGACTTGGAAAATATTGGCACGTTTTCGCGAAGGCTTCAAAAATTAGGACGGTAGCTGGGTTAACAACTTATAGCTGTTAGGATTTTTGATAAACCTGATTTTCATAAATAATATCGAAGCTTAAGCTTATAAATTATAAAATATAACTGACACTATTATATTAATTGTTATATTAAGCATACCAGTAGTTTGATTATAATTTATTTTTAAAAATTAACGAGTCTATCCAATAGAAAAAAAATCCAGAGGGCCATTAAATAGCAGACTTCTCTAAAGAATTTCTGCAGCCATTTGGTGCTATCAAGTGGTGGCAAGCAAATTTTTCAGAGGCTATATGTAGTTATGGCTATGTTATTGTAGAAAGTTACCGTGTTCTCCTGAAAATATGTCAGGGTCTTATTTTCTTTTTACCTACAAAATATGGCTTGGGTTTTATTATGGGGGGAGGGTTTATTGTTTTGGGGTTGCCAGGGCCAGCTGCCTGCAGAGCGTATAATCATAGAGTGTGCGCCCAAAGAGGCCACTGCCGAAAGACTTGGGTTGGAAGCCACGGAAAAAGCTAGGCTGGGATGGCGGCAGCAGCAGAGGTGCCCTGGCTCCGTAATGAGAGCTGGGCCATTCATTGTGAGGCTGGGAGGTGGGTGAGCGAGAGTGGAACAGCCGCTCATGCAACCCTCCCTCTCCAGCCATACAGAGCACAATTCACTGGCTTTTGGAAGGCGCCAAGCCGCGGGAGCTGGGCAGTGGCGAACAGGCGCTTACGCAGCTTGGCGATACTCCTAGGTCGTGAATGGTGCTGTGCCCAGCTGCAAAGGGGCTTTGCCGGGTGGCTGCTCATGAGCATGGTCGCTTCATGGCTGTTCTGTTGTGCTGCTGCGACAGCGCAACACAGCCATTCGCCTATGAGGCTGTGCCCAGCTCTTTGGGAGCCCGCTTGCAAGAGAGCAGCCACCCGGCAACTCCCCTCTTCATCTGGGCACAGTGTTGCTCACCAATCTAGCGGTATCCCGAAGGCACCAAGCAACGTGATCACCTTTGCCTCCCCCCAGGTTCCCGCGGCTTAGCACCTTCAGGATACTGCTAGGTTGGCGAGCGGTGCTCTGCCTGGCCAGAGGTGGGGTGTTGTCCAGGGGGCTTATATGTGGGGGGGGGGTTATATTTTTGCCCACCAGAAAAATGTGGCATGGCTATAGAGGACATATCGTATTTTCGGGAAAACACGGTATCACCCATCCCTCTCTCAGAAAAATGAAATATCCTAGGAAATATTGAAAAGTCACAATATTACTTTTCCCTGGATGTGAAAAGGGAGAAACATGTTTTAAAAACAGAGTAACTGCCTGCAGATTCCTGCCCATCCCCCTTTGTCAATGGCCCATTAAGATGCCCAAACCAGCCCCTTTACATAATAAAGAGTTCTCCCCTTCAGCTCCAGGGTGATGGGATTAAGGCATGATTAGCCTTTATCCATTCACCACATGGCATCTGAGAACTCAACCAAACCTGGATTCAAAACACAGTTTAAGAGAGTTGCCCCTACATGGCTCCATGGGAGTCTGACAACCAATCATAATACATTTCTTACACAGGAACAGGAAACAGATAGGTGGGGTTGAACAGGTTATAAAAAACCTGCAAGCCCCATCTTTGGGCCTTTTCTTCTTCCTCACCCAACATTGAAGCATGTGATCACCTTTTCTGTTCAGGACTCAAGCCATGTGGTCCTGTTCTCCATTAAACCATCTTTCCAAGCAGCCTCCATGTCTCCAGTGTCTTTTTCCCCACTTGGAGCTGAACCCAGAAGGACATTTCTTCCAACAATAGCAGGGCACATATATTTATATAAGATATATCCTTTGT